CCTCAGGAGACCAAGCAGCACCAGGGAGGACGGAGAGCCATTTATCCTGATCCCTAATGTTAACCTCAGACCCCCGACCCAAAGACCCCTGGTGGCGCAACCCGGAAAAGCCGCGGGCGGCAAGGACTGACGCGAGGGGGGTACCTGATGCGTCAAAATTGGACGCAAAGGGACCTTTGAAAAACGTCAATATGTGACGACTCGGGAGTGAGAATGTGTTGGAGTATCAGTCACATGGAGGCTGGGCTTAAAAGCCTGAATTTTGCCTGAAACTCTCAGACTGAAGAAGTCTCTTGGAGGAGAGACGAAACATTTCATTAGAGAAGAACCCGTCCAGAAGACCTATACAATTTTTGTCTTTTTGATTTTTTACCTGGATTACTGAGATGCATCAGGATATTTTATTAGACCTTTCATTACACGTAGTAAGATATAGGCTTAAAAGTAAAACAACCTACATAACGGCTGAAGATGGTCATTAAGTTTATTACTAAATTTATTATGCATTATCTTGTAAGCAAATTAAAGCTATATTCATTGTGTTTTTTCTGATTTTCTTGTTTTGTCTCCACAGAACAATCAAGGTGGAGGTGTATGACTGGGATCGGGATGGTAGGTGAGTATATCTGCACAGATTGTAGCATGTTGAATCAAATGCAGCTGAAACATTTAGATAAAGCCCTTATGCAAACAACAAGGTAACATTTTTCAGAAATATTTATGCAAGAAAACTTAGCATTGCTTCCCAAATCATCCCCCCACACCCCGCTACACCTTTTCTTGTTGTTTCCACGCTTTGTTTGTGTTTCTTTCTCTTCTCCAGCCACGACTTCATTGGGGATTTCACGACCAGCTACCGAGAGCTAGCTCGAGGGCAGAGTCAGTTCAATGTGTACGAGGTGAGTCGCTCCAGTCTCACAGTTCAGCAACATGTCTGATGACTCCTGAAACCTGGGGATCCCAGCGTGGCACATTCCTGGGTCCTGCTTTTGATCTGGATGGCATCGCCATTGTTTAGCAGTGTTGCTTTGTTCTCTCAACTCTTTGAGTCCTTTTCCCTCCATGGATACTTTCTACTTTTGCAGCAAATAAACACTTTCATAAAACTGTCAAAACAACTGACATATTGAAAAAATATTTTTATACAACCTGTTTCTTTCTTTATTTTTAGATTATTTATACATTTCAGCTTTCAAACATGTCTTCCCACTTTCCCCAAGCAGTTTTAACTTCGCCCCCACAAATATTTTAGTTTTATGTCCTAGCTGTCATCACTGGTATGCTGATATGAATGGAAATTGATCTATTAGCAGCAGGTTGAAACAGGATTAATAAGTGAAGGATTAATTTGGAATTTGAATCATTGGGAGGAAACAGCTCCCTAAAATCACAGGGATCAAAATAAATTTATCCAAATCACTATTTATGTTGTGCTTAATACAATTTATTATTGCCTTGGAAAATAAAATACATTTAAGATTTTAGCTCTTTGGTCTAAATTTTCTTTTTTCTTTTCTTTCGGAAGATTTTAAAATGTGTGAGTGGCAGCTGAAAGTCATAATCTTCCCYGAAATAGAGGACATGTCAATACCTTCATGCCCCTGTGGTTCGGTGGCCTTCAGCGAAGGACAAATATCTGTCTTTTAGATGTCAGCTCCATTATACTCTACTGTTGATTCCTCTCTACCTCCCAGGGAGACTGAAAGGCCCTTTAGTTTTTGCATCAGCAGATTGTTCGGTGTGTCAGACAAATTGCCATCCCCCGTGTTAAATTAGGGCCTGTCACTTTCATGCCTCACAGCCATTGAGAATTGAGGTAATGAGCGGAGACGTCTTTGGTATCTGGATTGGCTTTTTTTTTTTCTCGAGCCCCAAATATGCTGGTAAATGTTAGTCTTGCCTATTAAATCTTGTCTCACCTGTCAATTAATTTTAACCTGAGAATCAGGTTAGAATGTTCAATTGTTCTCCATTTAACATTTTAAATTTGCATGTTTTTCTATGCCATTGATGTATTTATGTGATATGTTTGAAGTGTGGCAGGTTGATCTTTGAATGGCCTCAGTTTGGAGAAATGACTGGATTGACGTCTGATGCAAGTGAACTCGAAGTAGATTTCTAAAAAAAAGTGACTGTGACACCAAATTTTTAAAATAAATATGAATGCATTTTTGGAAAGATAATATTGTTAACAATGCAAAAAAATTCACGCTGCTGAGATGGACAGTTGTTGAGATATTCATGTAAACAGGAAATGATGTCAAAGGGGAATGTCTGAATGTAAACAGAGTGTTGCTACAATGGCTTTTAGTCATTATCATGAGTTCAAATAACATTGTTTTGATAAACAAAGACCAGAGAGCTTTTTTTCTGAAAGAGTTCCCCATTTATGTCACTTCGTGTTTCACTTTGGGTGATCCATGTTTAAAAGAAAACATGCCAGATATGTGACACAATGAGTAAAAAGTATGTGGATTATGCCATGTTTCTTAAACATACAGATGTTTTCATTGACTTTTTGTATTTGAAGGATAGTTATGTCATAGACACTTTAAGTCTCAAACATTTCATAGCAGTTCATGCAAGTGTTAGTTTATGCCACCATCAGTTTGGAATTACACAATTATTTACACTTTCCCTCTTTTTTCAAAATAAAATGTCTTCTCTTAAGGAGCACATATGGTTTATCTCATTTTAAATTGAAATTTTCCTTTCCTTTTAMATCTTTTAGGTGATTAATACAAAAAAGAAAATGAAGAAAAAGAAATATGTCAACTCAGGAATGGTGAGTATGGCTCCAAATTTAACTTATAAGCTCAGTTTATTTAGTCCCTTATTAGTTTTTTATAAATATTTTGTAATAAGTAAWTATAAAATTAGTTGATTAATTTGTTTTTGGATACACTTTTCTTGTGTTATTTCAATTATGTGATTTTATTGGACAGTATAGTTTTGGTGCTATTGGTTGCTTCAAAGTAAACAGGGGTTTAAACACCTGATGGTAAACTGTTTGTAATTTAGTTAGAACAAAATATATGAATAAAAAATCAGCCATGCAAAACATGTAAGCAGTACTCAGAAAAAAGGATGAAATCTCTGACAAGCTCTAAAGACATCAGCGAGCTGAATGACAGCAGCGACCATTTGAGATCCCAATTTTCAGCTTTCACAGCTTTCCCAACACTGTCAGCAGGAGCAGCTAATGCATACAAATGCATCTCATGTTCTCTTCAAACCTGTCCTCTGRCATTGCAAATATTTCAATCATCCAAAAAGCAGTTTGCTTTCATTYTTTTACCGTGTGAGACGGTGAAGTGCAGAATTAAGCCGATACGTGGAGGCGTAGGACGTGTTAGCAGGAAAATATCAATACCAATTGACCAAGTGAGTGATCAATTCTTTCTCTTGAATTTCCAGGTGACCCTGCTCTCATTCTCTGTTGAGTCAGAATTCACCTTCTTAGATTACATCAAAGGAGGGTGAGTGGGAATAACCATTTGCACACTTCAAGAAACCATTAAATGACTTTTACCCCCACGGCTGTATTTATGCTGAGATTTACTTGTACACTATTGTTGTGTTGTTTTTCTTTTCCACAACAAGGCGCAGGGAAATCTTTGCTTTAGATTCATTCTCACTGTTAGAGATACTCAAGTGAAAATCATTAGCAATAGCGGACATATGCTGCAGAAATCGATGTGTTTTGCTCAAATTATGAGCAGAGCTATTTTTATTTTTGTGTTACATGGATACATATCAAAACTAGCAGCAAGTGGGTAAAAAAATACATGAAAGCAAGCAGAAAAGAACATAAAGCAGCAACTGTAGTCACCCAGCACATGTTCCCCTGGAAATCTCTGGAGACATGGTTGTTGTGTTCACATATGGAGCTTGTTTAAAGATTTTTTTTTTGTTCTGAGTGTCACACAGCTGATGGACAATCCCACTCTGCAGAAAGTCTGCTGAATCTGATGTTTGCATTCTCAAACAGTCTGTCTGGAACATATGCTGAAAATGTCCAAGTCACAGTGCATGTGTGGAAAAAGCTGCAGTCGTACAACAATTTGTTCTCCAAATGATTGTAGTCATGTATAATCCTAGAAAATTGTGCTTTATTGTAGAATTTGTTTCTCAGTCAGAATGCTAACTGGAAAATTACACTATATTCTATTTTATAAACATAAAAAAAATCATAAAAACCAAAACTGTCCTGAACTCAGCTTGTTTAGTCTTAAAGGGGGTATTATGCAAAATACACTTTTTTGAGCTTTTGTTATAATATCTTTCCCTCATCACAAACATAACCAGTGTTGCTTCGACTCGTTCATGCATGCTTGAGAAATCCTTGAATCTCYTCAAATATTGTGTGTCTGTTGTACAGGATGATTTAGTTTTATTTTGATCCAATATGGCGGCACCAGAGTGTTGTCTGAAAAAACTCCAGTCTCACAAAAAATGCATGCACATGTTATTCTGTAAGCTTACATTGCTGCCAGTTTTTCCATTACAGGGTTATTTACATGTGGTTGTGCAAATAGTGGCAGCAGCAGCAGCTGGCTGTAGCTCTTCCTTTGCAGCCTGAGGCACCTTCAGCTGGAACTGCCATGTAAAAGAAACCTGACAACAGAGTAAAGGTTTATAAACTAGAGTATGAATGACATATTTTAGATTAAACTTGTTTTAGAATGCGAGCAGTCTTTGGTCTTAGCCAAATAACTGTTTGACAGAATATCACTAAAAATTACAAGACTGCCCCTTTCAAGCACCAATGCTTAAATGAGTTAAAGGTAAACTGTCTTCACTGAGAGCCTCAGACCTACAGTTTCAGCCCTGGAGGTGGGTCTGAATGTGGCTTTCCAGGGAGACTTTGATCTCTGCTGTTTCATCACAGCAGGGAGGCTGTCAGACGGTTTTTAAGTCCCGTGGCAGAGCTGACAAGTGTGACAGATTTTGCTGACAGTTCTTCTCTTTGGCTGATTTATGACCTCAAGATTTGGTGACCTGACCTCAGTTAAAAAAGAGTAAAAGAAAAAGAAGAGATATATCATCCTCATCAGCCTGCCTCCTAGCATTACCCTGACACTTACTTGAGTTAAATATTACCACTGCAGAGGTTCTTGGTCTTTAGAAAATGAATAAATGTCAACCATTACTAAGAAATACCCACCCCCCACCACTTTTTTGGTGATGCGTTTCAGTGCTGATTTCTTTTGTTGCGATGAAAATCAACGCCGGTGGCAGTTACGCCAAAGAGCGTAATCATGAAGGTACAAATATAATTTGTCTATTCAAATAACTCCAGAGCTCTGGGTAGTTTGGAGGTGAAATTAGGCTTCACCAAGCTGTTGATTTTTTTCATTCTCCAATTCTGCCACTAAGACACAGCTCAGGTAAAAACGTGAATATGTTTAAAATATAGTGAGGAGACATTTTTCTTTACTGATCATAGTTCAGAGCCTTTTTGTCAGTTTAAGGATTTGAATTACATTACTCAATACTCACTACGAATTTTAATAAGGCGACAGTGGTGTTTTAAAATGGAAAGGCCTTGTCATAGAGATTCTATTAAAAGCAGACAGTTTTGACAGTGTGTGTGTGTGTGTGTGTGTGTGTGTGTGTGTGTGTGTGTGTGTGTGTGTGTGT